ATGACTTTGCAAAGCATCTTTTAACAGACATTCCAAAACGTTTCCCACAACTGATGTAAGACTAATGGGTCTATAATTACTGAGACAATTGCTATCACCTCCCTTGAAAGGAGAAATTACATTAGCTAACTTTCAATCCTCTGGTACCAGCCCATTATTCAAGGACTTTATCCTGCCCAGGAGCCTTATCGATATTTTATCTCCAACAAATCACTATCTAATAAGCTTTTTATTCAATACTAGAACTCATCATTTGGACTGGACGTTGAGAGACAAAACATGATATAAAATGTTTTTTAATATATGAAGATAATACTTTAAATTGTATGGTTTAAAAGCAAAAGTGAGTGAAATATTGGAAAAACCAATAGGCTTAAAAATTGTTATATAAACAACGTAACTGTAAATAATCTTTTTCCCACATTCCTATTAATTTGTCTGTTGTGAGAGACAAAAGAGAGATCTTAAATGCTATTTTTAAACACCTCTGACTTCCAACTCTAATGGATGAATTAAGAGGAATATGTAAAAAATAACATGCAGTTAACTTGTTACTGTGATATTAATTTAGGCCTATTGACTTTCCAATATTTCACTGGCTTTTGGTATTTAAACCTGATTTGTCAATAATGCACTCTTAGTTATATGGAGAGATGACTTCTAGTTAATTACTGTAATAAAGCATTTTTAAATAAGATTTCTTTTGTTTTTAATTTTGATTTAAATCTACTAGTTTAATGCTTTTCTCAATGGCAAAGTATATATATCTGAAAATATTTAACATAATATAACATTAAAGGACAACAAGGGACCTTTTGGTCCATCTAGGCTGTCTTATCCACTAAATTAGACTAAACCCCTAAAGATAAAACCTCAAAGCCAGCCCTTATCATTGAAATATTTATCAAGCTTTCCCTTAAACTCTCTTAAATTAACTGCATCTGTCACATCTGAAAGCAACTCATTCTGGAGGCCAAGCATGCTGTTAGAAATATAAAGCTGTTTTAGCTAAAGATGACTTCCTTGCCAAAAATTATGTTTGTGTTCCTAGTCCTACTATTCTCACCACCAAATATAAAATATGATTATGTATCAACACTATCATTTCTCTTAACAATCTCAAACTCTTCAATCAGTGCCTCTTATGTTGCAGTAACCAGAATGTTGGCAACTCTAATAACATTTATGTTTCGGGTCTTTTTTTTCTGTGTCCTATAGACAGAATCTGTCAGTAAACCAACAGGAAATGAATTTTAAAAGTAATTAACTACATCACTTATACATTTTTAGGAATCAAAATAAAAACCTTCATGTTTAGTTTGACTATCTATCTATCTATCTATATATATATATATAGTGCTATTCTCTTCTTTCTATTCTGTACTTATGTCTATAGGCAGTGCTAGATATTTCAGATGCTGTTTTCGATCTGTTGTATTGCAAAAGATAAATATGAATCTTAAAGAATTCTTTTTTCTTAGTGGCTTCAGATAAAGTCAAGGATCTACTTCCGGTATTACAAGCTTATCAAACAACAAGAAGTTCTGGCAAACTTTTGATTCTATCTTTCACTACCTTATCTGAGTATCTGCATATGCTACGTGTTGCAGCCGAAGCACTCCAACCGCTAGGACGTAAAGCACTGCTGTATCTTGCTGCAGCAGTCTCAGACTTTTACGTTCCACACGAAAATATGGTATCCTTCAGTTTCTAAACATCAGAAATCAGTGGTATATTAGTACTATAATTTACTGAAAAATGAAAAGGTACTCACAGTGGTAGTTTGTGTGCTCTCGTGATAGTCATTTTTTTATATACTTTTAAGTGTAGTTTTTGTTTTGTTACCTATAGGCTGGTGGGGAAGCATTGCTTAAATTCATTTCTTTCTTTTTTCTATACTTTTACAATTTATTAATTAAAATTTGTTTGGTTCTATTTATTATTCTTTGCTCAGGCTTGTTAATATTATAATCATTACTGATTTTTTTAACCACTGTAAATAGAGTATTCACAAATTGTAAGTTACATATTCATTGTTTGTTTAAACAAAGTTTTCAGGGATATTTGGTTTTACAATATTAGAATAGCATTATAACACAGTTCTATGTATTATGCCGTACACTTTATGCTATTGAACTTCCCTATTTAAAAAAGTTTGATATAATATGTTTTTTTTTTAGTATTTTATTGTGTTCTGCATAAAAAATTTAAGAAAATGTAACCTATATTTTAGTGATATATGTACATTATATATCCAAACTGAATTTAATTTTTTACTGCACCCCAGTGGCTCAGCAGTAAGTCTGAAGACTTATAATGCTAAAAACTGTGTTTCAATACCCGTTGTGGGCACAACACAGATGGCCCATTATATAGCTTTGTGCTTAACAACAAACAAAATTTTTTGGCTTGCATAATTTTTGGATATTTTTTTGTCAAGATTAGTTTCAGCTCGTAAAATACATGCATGATTGTAATATGCATAGTTTTTTAATGTTTATTTTTGAATTTTTAGTTCGATTATAAAAGTAAACATTTAAAAATCCATTTATTCTTAACTTACACCACTTGTATTTCAGTTTTTATTAGTTAACAATATGTTGTATTTACCTAAAAATGTATCTTTCAGGCTGTCCATAAAATCCATTCATCAGAGGGGCCACTTAACCTCCAACTTCAGTTAGTCCCAAAACTTTTGCAGCCTCTTGTTCGTTTCTGGGTTCCTGATGCTTTCGTAACCTCTTTTAAGGTAGGCAGTTATTCAAACAGTGATGCAACATTGTAAAAACTCCATACTTGAATGTTTTGTGTTTTATACATTGTTTTAACTTCTAGTACTTTAATAACCTTCTCTAAGTCAGTGTTAGTCTCTGTGTTAACTTTTCACTTGATGCACAGAAAAACTAACATTTTACAACAGGAAACTACTTCAACAAATAAATACATTGTAAAAACTTCATTGTTGAATGTTTTGTGTTTCAAAAATGTGTTTTATAAATTGTTTTAATTTCTAATACTTTAATAACCTTCTCTAAGTCAGTGTTAGTCTCTGTGTTAAATTTTCACTTGATGCACAGAAAAACTAACATTTTACAACAAGAAACTTCTTCAATAAATAAATACAAAATGCACAGATTTCTTGGTCTTTAAAACTGTTAAAGATATTTTATTTACAATAAAAATTCCTGTAATGCATTATTCTGCCAGCAAGATTTATGATTCTGTTTTTATTTGATTTATTAGGTTAAATTGGTGATTAGTGTTCTTCAAGCAAGAATTTTACTGCAGAGTTCTGATATGTCAGTAAAATGTTTTTGAAGATACATTGTTCTTTTGTATCAAATTTCTGCTGATGGCATAGTTGCAATCTAGCATTGTAATCTATGTAACACAGAAACATTTTCTGATGTATGTGAATGTCACTGAATTGTCATTTCATACTTTCTAGAAATTTTATGTTTTAGTAAAGCTTTGTTTTTTTTTAAGTTAAGCACAAAGCTACACATTGAGCTACCTGTGCTCTGCCCACCACTGGTATCGAAACCTGGATTCTAGCGTTGTAAGTCCGCAGACATACCGCTGTGCTACTGGGGGGCTTTAATAAAGCAAGTGCATTGGTGAAGTAATAGATTTCAGAAACCATCTAAAAAAAGTTTACATGTGGATTTAAATAATACTTGAAAACAGGTAAAATATAAAAGCTTAAAAATCGTACAAGTGTTAGCTTGTCTTACCATTTTGTAGGAATTATTAATGAGTATCCATCATTACCAAAGTTTTCCTGTTAGGTCATATAGAATTAATTAGCAAATTTAGTGTCTGCAGCACTATAAAAAGTTGTTTTAAAAGAGAAACTTTCCTGTAGACAGAAGCTTATCTTAGCATGGCCCCAGTAGATTGAGTCAGCACTAAATTTGAAAGCCATACGTTAGCGATAAGTTAATTTGTGGTGCTACATAAAATCTATTGTTTCATAATATCATAGTACTTCCTGTTTTTTATTGTACATTGTAACTGATTTTTCTAGTTAGCATCCCCCGGTTGTTCAGTGGTAAGTTTATGGGCTTACAAGGCTAAAATCTGGGGTTCGATTCCCTGCAGTGGACACAGCAGATAGCCCAGTGTAGCTTTGTCTAAAAACAACAACAACCTTCCAGTTAGTTTTAGCTCTCACACTTCTTCAACCTTTCAGTTTTGATACTTTTTGCATAGGAAATATATTTAGCTTGCATTTAACAACAAAACCTAAGCCATGATAGTTCAGCTTCATGTAATTCAAACCATGGTAGTTCAACTTCATGTAATTTAAGTACAACAGATGCTGTTCAAATGAATGTTAAATGAACTTGGCTGAAGAAAGTTTTTGTACATTGTTTTTGTTTATACATCAAATGTTATAATATTCTATAGTAAAAAAAAACCAATAATACTGAACTTGAAATATTGTGCTAGATATTGATTTATAAAACAGTCAAACATACTATTAAAAACAAAAATGTCATGTTTTAACGTGTTATTTCTTATCAACTGAAATAAGGCTTTGAAGAATCCACAATTAGAATATAACATGCCAGAAAACATGTAAGGTACATGAATCTGCTATATTTATGAAGTTTTAATGCTTAATAAAGAAAATGAATACATTTACTCAAATTTTATATTCTTATGTTGATTATATGCACTATTAAAAGTGCTGAGAAAACCCTAAAACTCATACTTATATCCTGTTTACAGTTGGAGACTGATGAAGGTATTCTGTTAGAAAAAGCTTATCAGGCACTGCAAAAATATGGGCACAAGGTATTTTTATGTCTTTGCAATTGCTGTTTTCTAGAAATATATCATTAATATGTTTTAAAAAGTTCTAAGAATGCATCTTTTTTTTTAATTTGTCTGAGATGTCAAGTGTTTAAGAGGTTGATTTGTTAAAACAGAACTCTTTATCAGTATGGAAAAAAGAATTTGATAATTAGTTGCACTGAATGAGCTATACCTGAACAGTTTTTCTGTCGATGAATCACAAACAATTTAAAGCTAAGCAAAAACTAGTTTAGTAAGTCAGTGAGTGAGTGTTCAATTGATTTCTTGAATCTATGTGTTTCTCTAACATCGTGGATGTATCTCCATGTAAGGAACATGGACCCAATTTAGGTTTGTTAAATTGAGTAAGTGAGTAAATGTTTCTTGATTTAATTTGTAATTTTTCCGTTTTGGTCTTGGCATTGAAAGTATTAATTATTCTATGTTTATTTTACACCTAACTTCATTTCATAAAGAAATTCACGTACATTAAATATCATTTATGCATCCAGTTAAATTTTGGAACTAAAAAAAAATACTGTAGCTCATAAGACTACAAATGAAAACTTTTGGAAAATTAAAATGTTAATTTTCCAAAAGTTTCACATTCTTGCTCTTCATAATCACAGGGTGGTTCAAAAGTGACTACACAGTTGTTTCATTTAGAACATAATTTAAATCCTAACATCTTACTCTGAAGCAGACACTAATTAAATTGATATAAATATTTTCATTAGTACCAACCATATAATAACAATTGTACCACCTGCATAGTACCAACTGTATAGTAACTTTTGCTGTATCCTGTATATTATCCAAACATTAAAAGTTATGAAGAAACAAAAAGTGACACTGTATGTTTTTACTTGACATCAATTAAAGCTGATCACATGTTATTAATATTAATTAATAATGACTGTAAATGTTATATTATTACACTGTACAATGAATGATAGCAATTCAAAGTGATCATATTCCATTAACATGTTTAAGAAGACTGAAACAGTTGTTTGATTGTTGTTAATTAAGATAGATTATGGGAAACCAGATTGTTTGTCCGTCATTATTTTTATATAGCTGACAATAAGCAATCATACTAATTGCTCCGAGATATTGGTGGGACCAAACCAACATTACTCAATTTTTTTAGTTATAGAATGATTTTTTATCAGATCTTTTCTGGTCACAAAAAACCAAAACATATGCATTTTATCACTACTTTCAATCAGTAATAAATAATAATAACAGAAATTAAAATTACTGCATGTTATAACTGTGTACTTTTGTCCATCTGATGGAAGAAACCAGAAATCTGAGAATTTGTGGTTTGTGACCCTGCGAAAATGCACTCCATCCATTGGAGCCATGAGTGTTCTATAATAGTGATGATCTAAACCACTATCTGATCAGAGAAGAGTAACCCAAGAGTGGTGGTAGGAGCTGTTGCCTAGCTGCCTTCTCTCTGGTCTTTCAGTTCAGATAGTTCTTTGTGCAGATATTTCCAAAAGCAAATAAAAAACTTTTCTGATGATTAAAAATCTTAAAAATTTTGTATTACTTCTCTTTTTGTGTTGTGGTACAAAACCTAAAATATTATATATGAATTGGTAATAGAAAAATGGAAATGCTTTACTTACTGGCCGGTAATTGCACACCAAAATCACTATATATTATCACATTATTCAGTTGCTGTTAGTTTATCAGAGAAAGTGTATATGTATAAGTTTTTGAATATACATCATGAACAATTTGGTATGACCTGTCAGTAAGTTATGAACAGAGGCAGATTCAATATTAAATTGAAAAACAAAATATTACTGAACTTTAAATTTATTTGTTGTAGAAAATACCAGGATACATAGATCAACACTTAAGATAGGTTTTAATATTGACTTCCAATTAGAGCAAACTATGTACTTAGAACAAATCTAAAAACCAACCTAGTAATTAATACAGCCATATACTATTCTTATGTTTCTAAAGATTAGAATGTATTGGTTAATCAGTTGGGTATCCGTAGTGTTAACGATATTTTCAGCTGAAATACTAAAGTTGAGTTTGAAAGGCTTGCTTTAAGGTTGATATTAAGATAAATTATGATTATAATTTATGCAAATTAGTCCATAAATATATATCCTCTAGTGAGTATATTGCATTATTGCATCACTTGGGTATGGCTTTAAGTTGTATTTTTTAGCTATATATTCAAGCAATACATAATTAGGTGAAGGTCTGGCCAATTTGTGAAATGTATGTCAGGGTTATATCATTATAATAAGTAATAATGCAAAATAGTAATTTTTGAAGTATTTTTAAGTCATGGAACTATTTTACTGGTCTAAATATAAAATTTCAAAATGCATAATCAATAACATTAAAACATGTTAACTAAAATATCAAACTAGAAGTTGATTATTACATAATACAGAAACATAAAAAAAAAATAATTAGATAACTGTAATCGTTTTGTTTTTATAAAATAAAGAGCAATTTATATGCATCTGTGCATAAATGAGTAAGTTCATTTTAATACAGATCCTTGTTCATCATTAGCCTTAGTTAAGATCTTCAAATTATTTGAATACAAAGCCATATGAATGTCACCTAAGGTACTCTCCAGTACTCTTGATCTATTCGGTGTCCTTAAATTTGCGTGTTCTTTCATACTTGTCTGCAGCTATCTAAGCGTAAATATGATATAACCTTATTTGGAAAAAAAGACAAGGACAAGTAAATTTATAAACAACATTTGGTGTTCTCACTGGAGTGATTTTATCTTTATGTCTAAAGAGAAAGACTGCAAATGCTATGTTATTCTGCAAAGTCAGGTGCATTTATAAACAATCTTCCAGAGTTAAAGTTATCAGATACAACTTGTGAGGAACTATTTGAAATTCTACATAATAATTCTTCATGACTACATGTTAGTATTTAATCCAGTGAGTGATAAAAACGTCTGGAAGAATCTTCATTGCAGTTTGTAAATTATAATTCTGTTATAAATTTTCTGTTCAAGGCACATTAACTCATCTAGAATAACTATTTTCTATTATAATGATTTGTGTTGTTACTTTATATAGTGGATAGTAATCTGTTGTGTCTTATTTGTTGTGATAATGATGTGAAATGGTTGTTAATTACCTCTTTATTCAAATGATTCTACCATACCAGTTGAGTTGTACCTTGTCTAGTTGCTGAAAATAATTTAGAATCATAAATTGATTTTTTTTTTTTAGTTGGTAATAGCAAATCAGCTTCACAACAGGAAGCAAAAAGTTGTTCTGGTTTCTCAGGAAAAACAGGTTCCTATTGTAATGACTGAAGAAGAGATGAGGCAGGGAAAGGAAATTGAAGAAAAAATTGTATTAGAGTTGACATCATTACATACTAAGTTTCTGCATGAAATAGCATAAACTAATAACTGATTTAGATTCACTCCAGGAATAGGAAAATAAAAACTGCTATTCAAGTATCATATAAACATTTATCCAAAAATGGAAATATTGTTAATCAAGTATCATGTAAACATTTATCCAAAAATGGAAATATTGTTAATCAAGTATCATGTAAACATTTATCCAAAAGTGGAAATATTGTTAATCAAGTATCATGTAAACATTTATCCAAAATAGAAATATTGATTTTGTATGTACACATTGAAATGTTAATGTGTGTGTGTATATATATATATATATATAATAATTTAAACAACTAGACCAAAATCACCTTCATAAGGACTACACAACCACTACATTAATTTTAACATCTACATAAATGAGAGTGTAACACAGCATCATCTCTTTAACTTGGATGATATTTCAAAAAACCTTTATCAGTTAGGCCTATAACAAAAAGTACTGAACATAAAATATGGACAAAGAATACTTAAGGTTTAAATTATCAATATTGGAAAGGTAAAATGTTCCCTAGGGTATCTGTAGAAGCAGGTCACACACACTGGTACATTTACTCTTTCAACATAGTTTTATTTATCTGTCTTCTTATGGGTTACACTTTTTATTTTTGGTTTAGTTGCTTGATTTTTTATTTGTAAAATATCATTCAAGGTAAAGAAATACTTTTTTGTTATGTATATATATATATATATATATATATACACACC